CCTTTGAGGAAATGTATTTTCAGATGCCAAGTAAACTGCATCACAGCGCACACGCGAAACAACGCTCCCAGACCGAAACTCACGGGACAGAAGTGGAAGGTGGTTCTAAAAGAGACAGAGGCCAATTTCAAGGCGTTTAGAAGAGGAAGTGATGAGAAGATAAGTTTATTTTCTATTTAAACATAAAAACAGCATTTTAATAACAGCTAAAGGTGACATAGATACTTTATTATGGTATAGTATTTAAATATATGCCTGTGAAACACATAATATTGCCCCTTTAAAATAGTCAGTAGAGGGTCTGAAAACTTGCTAAATATAGTGAATAATTAGCTAAATTGACACCGCTGTGTTCCGCACTCTACCAGCTCAGCCCCAAAACAAAACAAACAAACAAAAAAAAAGTCCGGTCACGACGGTGCTGATCTACCCACAAAYGARCTGTGGAGACACACCTCCACCTCCACCTGTGAGCAGAACCAAACAGTCATATTTGACAGTGCAGGGGGGTCCAGGGACTCCAATGCTCAGCGGGTTCTGCTATRARCTCCTTCCTGGTTTCAAGCACTGCGAGAAGGATCAGTCCTCACATAACACTCAGCTGCAGACCACCTGCTGCTGAYTCATCCATGATGTGATGTAAATGTAACATTATCTATGGGCCAGAGGTTCTCAAACTGGGGYCCCAGGACCCCCAGGGGTCTGCGAGAGGTATCTTGGGGGTCCTCAAAAAATTACACTAAATTGTTACTTTTGGTTTTTATTTTTAAAAATGCGTGGAGAACAATGGGCCTCACGCAAGAACCGTTCGTACACACAGATTTGGTCTTAAGTTGTGCGTACGAGTGATTTAGGAGAATTTGTGGCATTCACCAATGTTTTCATATTCTACGATTTTTTTCAGATACGAACAAAATTCACGAGTGGTCCAGACCTGTCGTATATTTTACGAGCAGTCAGTCTGCTGTNAAACAAAAAATAAAAAACAATAAAAAGACATACAATAAACAGCAAAATAAAAACCTCCTTCTCAGAATCGCCACCTTAATGTGGCAGAAGGGTTTGAGTAACCTGGTGATCCTGGGGACTATGTTGTCTGAGGAATCAACCCTTGCTAGAGTGTCCCGTGGTAAACAGAAGTCAGGGGAGAGGTCAGTATAAGAGTGATTCAAAACTTTATGATGGACAGACGACATCTGCAGCAAGAAACCAAGGGGGTTTCCTCTCTTGTGGCTTTGTGCTGCAGGAGGGAAGGTTCTGACTGCTGTKGGGCTTATGCACCAAACATTAGTTCAGATTACCCAGCCTTTTTGGAGTCCTTGGATGGTGTCCTGAAAGGGGTGCCGTCTGGAATTGGGTGAGTGTGAGGTACATCCTCCCTGATCTAAACCTGAATAGTGTTGTGTTATTGGACTTCTGTGCTAAGCACAGGTTGTCCATAATAGACACCATGTTTGAGCATGGGATGGTCCATAAGTGTACTTGGTACCAGACCACCTTAAGCCAAAGGTCAATGATCGATTTTGTAATCGTGTCATTTGACCTGCAGCCCTATGTCTTGGACACTCTGTGGACCAGCCTGGACCCCAGGACAACTAAAGATCTGCTGGTGAAAATTCTCAGTCATCCAGGTCATGATCAATAAAAAAAGGTTAAAAAACAAAAACAATTGGAATTCTACTCTGACGATGAAAACATTTTTAATCAATTAGAGCTGAAAGGCCTATGGTGAGTAGTAAATAGTTTTATGAAGTTTAAAAAAAATCTAATTATGAAAGATAAAAACTGTCATTTTCTGGTCAAGGGTATTGTTAAGGATGAAACGGTAAAGTTAATTAAAACAATTAATGATAAATCTTGTGGATTAGATAATATGGATGGAAGGCTGCTTAAGACCTCCTCCAACCTTAATAGATAAAACTTTGTAATTTTTTAAAATTTGTGTTTTGTTGAATCGATTTCCTGATTCATGGAAAACGTTTAAAGTTATTTCGTTGTTAAAAAATTCTTAAGAACCACTGACAGGACAAAACAGCAGAACTATAAGTATCTTACCTATCCTGAGTAAACTGTTGAAAGGATTTGCATTTAAACACATTCAGCATTACTTTAACATATACTGCATTAACTCTGATATCCAACATGCTTATAAATGTTACTCTACATGTATGGCACTGGCAGCTCTGACTGATGATTGGTTAGAACAGATTGATAGAAAACAGTTGGTAGGTGTTGTGTTTCTTGATTTCAGTTCTGCCTTTGATATTGTTGAAAATGAAGTGTTACTTATGAAAGGATCTGCCTACGGCCTTGATAAAGCAGCTTTTAACTTTATGTATAATTATTTATGTAATAGAAAACAATGTGCTATGTGGTTTCTGTTCCAATGTTGAGACTCTTCAATGTGGAATTCCACAAGGCAGCTGCCTGGGTCCTCTGTTTTTTAGTATTTATGTAAATGACATGCCATAAGCATTAGGTAAGGCATCCATTATTGAATTTGCAGATGATACAACAATATATGTATCATCTAACAGCCTGGGTTAGGTAAATGAGATGTTACAGCAGAAACTACTGTGTTGTTGAGTGGGTAACAGAGAACAGGTTAAAACTAAATGTGTCAAAAACAAAGCTGATACTTTGTTTTTGGGTTACTGGGCGCTAAATATTCTATTAGACAAACTCCATTGTYTTATTTATTATTTATTAATCATTTATTTACCCAGGCAAATCCTAATGAGATCACTAATCACTTTTGCAACGGAGGCCTGGACCTGAAGGCTTGACCTGTTGGTCATGTTTTTGTTCTGTAAGAGGAAACCGGAGAAAACCCACACTAGCACGAGGAGAACATGCAAACTCCATACAGGACCTTCCTGTTGTGAGACATCAGTGCTAACCACTCAGCCGTCAGCTGCCAGTGTTAGATATTTATTTAAACAGACAACACATAGAACAGGTTAAAGAAGCTAAACTGCTGGGAGTTATAACTGATCAAGTAATATCATGCTCCACACACATTTACGTAAGATAGTGACTAAACTTAGTAGAAATATTTCAATAATTCCATGTATACATATTTTATGTCTCCTGAAATAAGAAAATTGGTAACATAGTCTATAGTTTTGTGTCACCTTGATTACTGACCTGCTGCTTCAAAAACAGATCTGGACAAACTGCAGATAGTTCAAAACAAAGCTGCAGGATTAGCACTTGGACATAATTATTGGAACTAATGTTATTTCATGCATCAAAGACTGTTATGGATGAAGGTCGAATGCAAATTTTGAGTGAACTTTTAAAATGTCGCAGAAAAAAAAAGAATAAATGCATGTCAGACGTGTTTCCATCAACTGGCTTGGAATAAATCAACCAGGCTACACAAACTGTAATCATGTCAGACTTATTTTAAACATGTCTGTAGTAAACAGGAAGTAAAGTCACAAACTCACAGGGACACATCTCAGGACAACGGAGGGACGTTATCAGGAACCTGTTGCTACTATCAGGAAAGTTGTGATTATTCTGTCATATCAACTTGTATTGGTGATGTTACTGCTGTCTGGAGACGTAGAGAAAGAAATGTGATTCTCTTCACATTATGGAGAAGGAGGAGGGTCCAGCTGCAAGTCACTACAATTATTGGAGAGTGGGAACAGCTGACTGAGGTAAATGTTTACTACGTCAGAACTTATTCAGCAAATCTGTTTCCATCTCCCAGTTTCATTCTCTTTTTCGAAAAATCAAAAAAAAAAAAAAACCCACCTCAAGCAAGCATAACAATTTTTTTGTGAAACTGAGGAAGTCTTTGTGAATTTTGCTGTTTCCATTCACCTTTTTCTAATGCAACACTTCAAAATGCTCATAAAAGAATCCTCATGTAAACACTGCTRGTGTGAGTCGGTCCTGACCTGCTGGCTCTCCTCGGTCAGGGTGCGCAGAGAGTTCATGATCTCCTCAGCTTTAGATGCATCGATCAGACCTGCGCTGAAGGCAGACACGCTCACACATGCTACAGAGTACGACAACACCTGGACACAGAGAAAAACAGGAGATTGTTCACAACAAGTTACACACAATTCTGAAACTTCACAGGTTCAAAAAAAATCTAAAATAGTTACAGTATGTGATCCCTACAGTTTACCAGATTTGTTCTGACTCACTCTGCTGTTGTCTTTAGTCTCTCTCCTCTACGTTTGTTATAATTACTTCTATCAATAACATCTTTTCTTTGTCTCTCTTCCAGAGGAAAATACACCTGGACCAGTTCTTCTGTGCTTCTCCATGCCTCTTTTCTGTCCCCAGACCCAGCAGGTCGAGGCAGATGGACACCTGTCCTGAGCCTGGTTCTGGTTCTGCTGGAGGTTTCTTGCTGTTAAACCGGAGTTTTTCCTCTCCACTGTTACCAATGTGCTGCTCAGGAGGGGAGACAGTGATGAAGTGAAGATTCAACACAATCTGCTGGCTTTTTTAGATTGTTTTTGTACAGAGACCGGAGACAATATGYGTCTCAGGCCCGCCTCTGTCAAACTGACACTTGAGCTGGAATGACAGAAGGATGTGAGCAGTCTGGAGCAAGGTGGCCCAGTACTCATACTCCTCATAAAMCTGTCTGCGCTCAAGTTTCATCAGCTGTGAGCTATGGGCAATTCATTTACACTACATTATTATGAGATCAATCTTGTGCCAGCAGGAATTGAATTTGAATTTCTGAATTTGAATTTGAATGCATTGGTTTGAAAATGAATTTTACTAAATTGAAACTGAATTTAATGATTTGAAACTGAATTTAAAGTTTAGAATTTGAAT